TTATGGGAAGAGAGCCAACGCGGTCTTCAGCCAAGGGAAGGATTGTCTGGTCTGGTGGTGGTGGTAGGACAGGGAGAGATTCCTCTGCTTAGTCACTGCAAGACACAAGCAAAGCCGCATGAGCAGGAGAGCTGTCCTGGCAGCCTGTGACTGTGCAAGAGAACGGGAGACCCCCAACTTGCCCTGCTGTGGCCTGGCAAACCTCTCTGGGGGAGGTGGTTCTGGATTGCACAGTGCTCACTACCACCAGGGCCCAGGAATCATCTAGACACAGTGACAAAAAAAATCTTCCGGCACAATTAGCTCAAATGACTCGTGGAGGGTTTACCTGTGGGCCCAGGCAGCATCTCACCTGGATGTGGAAGATGAGCTACACCTTTTCCATGTTCAAACACAGCAGCTTCGCAGCTGGCCAGAGTCCAAAGGGATGGTGAGGAGCAGCAGATGCCAGCAACTTGCAGCACCCTGCCCTCTCCCCAGTGCCACCCTTCTCCCTTTTGGGCTGTGCAAAAGGCCCCACCAAAGCACATAAACAGAGGAAAGTCGCTCATTAGGAAAGGCAGTGACTCACGTCCATCCCAATCAGTCATCTTGGAGGCAAGGGAAGTGTGGAAAGAGGGACCTGGTTATGTCAGAAACCCAAGCAGAGGCTGGGACAGGGGAGGCTCTTCTGCTGCTTAATGACTGTCTGAATGCTTCAGAGAGAGACTTGGGATCACCCACGTGAGCCTCTGCCACGGCCCCAGGAGGGACCCGTGCTCCGATTCCCTCTGCTCCTCTAGGCCTTCTCCTAAGCCACAGGAGAAGCTGCAAACAAGGGGAGGAGCCCTGGAGCACTAATAGTTTGCCAGTTCTCCAGCTAGAGACAGCCCATGGGGGAGGCACTGCTGGAGGGGACCTGAGGGATGGAGAGGGGATCTGTCCCTCCAGCAGTTCGCCCTCGGGTCAGAGGGTCCTCAAAGGTCCTGAAAGACCCAACTGTGCCTCCCCAGCCCTCAGTGCAGCTGTTTGTCTGCACCCCAGGAAGCTCCAGCAGGTCCCAGCAG